AATTGAAAAAAAGTGTTTCATTTTTTTTTAAATTATCTTTTATATTTGGTTTGTATTTATAAAATGTTTTCAATTACACACGAAGAAGAAAACACAAAAGCACGATTAGGGAAACTAGTTCTTCCAAAATCTTCAATTACGTTAAAAACACCTTGCTTCATCGGTAGCACCAAAAGGGGATTCGTTCGACATTTAACACCAGATAATCTCATAAACATCCCAGATTTAGAATTATTATCTATTAATCTTCCACAAATTATTTATAAGCCTGGTTTAACAATCCTCAAACGTTTTAACAAGCATTGCCAAGAATCAAGTGAAACCAAAAAAAGTGTTGAAGAAACAAAAAAAGAAGAAAAAGAGAATAGTAACAAAATTTTTCAAGAAGAAAAAAAACAAGAAAAAGAAAAAGAAAAAGAAAAAGAAAAAGAAAAAAAAATAGAAATCGAAAAAGAGAAAGAAATAGAAATAGAAAACAAAACAGTAACTGAAAAAGATAATAACAAACAAAATCAAATAAAAGATGGACTAAAACGTTATTATGGAATTGGATCGAAACATGCTTTATTATTAAAAATCCGCAATTCTGAATTTGCTGATTTTTATTATCCCTCAACAGACGAGAAAATAGCGTGCTGCGCTTCTGAAGGAACAAAGGTGTTTATAACGCCTTCTCAGTATATGGAATTTGCATCTGAAATCAACCCAGACATTACGGTTAGCCCAGCTATCGAGGTAGTTGGGAACAATAAGCGGGACAAAATTGAAAAAGCTATTAAACGATCAATGAAATGGTTAAATATAGCGATTTCGAAAAAAACTTCTCGCACAGGTTCCTTATTCGCTGTAATACATGCCGTTGAAGATCCCAAAATCAGAAACAAGTATTTGGATCGGTTGTTAACAATCGTGAAGAGTGGGAAGGTTGATGGGTTCATGTTTGGCTGCCTCTTTTTAAATGAATCCAGAATCGAAAGAAAGAAACGCATTGGCCAAATAATCGAATCAATACCAAACGAATTGCCTCGGGGGATTGTCGGGGATGCAACACTTTCACAAATTTTGGACTGTGTCGAAAATGGCATTGATTTAATAAATTCTTCTTTTCCATTGAGGCTAACAGAATTGAATCTTGTTTTAAATTATCAAAATCCTTTACAGAACCTGAGAAGTGAAAATAAGAACAAGAATGAGAATAAGAATAAGAATGAGAATAAGAATGAGAATGAGAATGAGAATATCGAAATTGAAAACGAAAATAAAAATGAATTTAAAAAACAATTTGAACCATTATTATTTAATTTAAGGAATGTTAAATATGAAGATGATAACAAGCCTTTTGTCGTAGGTTGCCAATGCTTTGCTTGCAAAAACCATACAAGACAATATGTTTATCATCTGATTTCTGTGCGGGAAATGACTGCAATGATTTTAATGAACTTGCACAATCTTTACCAATATTCCCTGTTTTTTAAAGACATGAGATGGGCAATAAAAAATGATAAATTTATTCAATTTAAGGAAGCAATACAATTACTGGAAAAAAGTAACACAAAAAAATAATTATTTTTAAAATTTTTCAGTTTTTTTTTATTTATTTTCTGAATACTTTAATCAAAAAAGATAAAGAATAATTCAAAATATTAATATTTTGTATCTTTACATCTACTTTTATTTTTCACTCTTAAAAAGAATTTTTTTATTAAAGAGTAGAGAGATGAGAAATAATTACTGGTATTTGAATTTTAAATGGAAAATTATTTTCAATTCATTTTACTTATTTATCCTTTTTATGTACAAACAGAGTTTCTCCTAAGAAGTTTGGGATCTCTTTGTTACAAAAAGGAAATTGAAGAGGAAGTAAAAATTTCCCCTTTGTAATTCAAATACCAGTAATTATCTAAACTCTTTTTTAAACAAAGGGTGAAGTTTTTTTGAAGAAATGGAACAAATTCTATGAGTTTTATCTAATAGTCTTTTCAAAATACATTTTCAGTTTTCAGATCAGAAATATTTTTTACAAGTTTTTTGCTTTTTATGTTTTTTTTTTTTTATTTTTTAAGAATTTTTCGAATATTTTTTATTCTTTTTTTTTAATAAATTTGTCGAATATTTTGTCTATGCTTTATGAAAAATTTTTGTCGATCTTTAAATTGAAAATTTTTCCAATTAATAGTATAACTTTAAAGAATTCAAAATGAGATTTATTATTTTTTTATTACCTGTTTTTTGGATAATTTAATGTATAAGCCTTCTCGAAAAAAAAAAAATTACAGGTTTTCATTTGAAACACTTATTAATCAAGGCTAAATGGGTTCTTTTAACCAGACCATCTTTTTCTTTTTTTGAAATTTTTTTTATACATGGTTTTCTTTTCTTTGTGAAATTGCATAAAGACTTTCCAAGTTCCATATTTTGTGGATACTACTTATGAAATAAACAACATATTTTTTACCTTTTTTTTGCAAAATAAAAGGAAAAAAAGTTTTATTCAGCTTTCCAAAAAAAAATTTTTATTTAAAGAAACCTTTCAACTAAACTATCTTTCATAATAATTGGCCCATTAAAAATCAAATTTTAAAGAAAAATATTTTTAATAATTGAATTTATCTATTATAATATAAAAATTTAGATTTTAATATTCAATACTATACTCAAGAGATATTTATTTTTTGTCTAAAAATAAAAAAAAGAAAAATAAAAAAAACTGTTAAAAAAATTTTGGCCATTTATTTTGAATGAAGCATTAGATGAAAAATAGACAATTTAAAAAAGTAAAAAAACCTATTTATGGATTCCCCTTCATTAGAATAACTAAATCTAATCTCTTTTTCATATTTGAAACCAAATTTTTCATTAATTCATCTGATACTTCTTTCAAATTTTTCATTTTCATTTTCCATTTTAACAAAACACTTTTGAAAAAATAAAAAAGAGAAAAAATGATTTATTTACAAACTTTTCATTGTGAGAGGAAAAACTTCAAAACAATACAAAAGCAATTCATTATTCAAATGTAAGGTGGGCCATTTATTATGAAATTTAGTTTATTTACTTTCGTAAACAAGTTCAAATTATGAATTTCCCTTTTTAGAATTGAGATCTTTAATGATTGATTTTAATTATTGGGGATGGTATTTTTTTATAAAGCTGAATAATAATTTTGATCTTTTGATTTTACAATGAACAGTTCTTTAGAAAATTTTGAATTAATAGATCTTGTTCACATTATTAATTTTTTTTTTTTTTTGAGAATTTGTAATTTAGGTAAAACCATTGTTATCAATCCAATTTTGAAATTTCAATTAAAAAAGTTCGGACATCAAAATTTCCTGATGTGTTATTACTTTCTACTTCTTTTTAAAATAGTCTAGAGTTTACAACAATGCTCTTGATATACTTTCAAACCAAAATAGAAAGTAAATTGAGCAAAAGGTAAAAAAATTGCATTTTAATTTTTGCTTTGAAAATTAAGTATAAGTGGACTTTTCATTGAGATAAAAAAAAAATAGATTTTAATGTTAAACTTCTTTTATTGGAAAATTTCAAATGATTTCAAAATGATTAAATGGTCTTTCAAATGCTCTAAAAAGCTAAAAAGTGTCAAATTTTGTTTCACTCATAACTCATAAATTTTAAAAAAAAAACCTGTCAATTTTGTATTTTTGTATTCAACTCAGATAATTAACACTATTCGACATAACACTTTTGAAAAAAGGTTTACAACTTTATAGATATTAATGGGAATTGGAAAAAATAAAAGTATTGTGTTTATATTTTTTTCATTTTTATTTGTAAAATTTTTCAAATTTTTATTTGACTTAGTGGAGAGATTATTTCCATCTATTTTTTTAATAGTCTAAACAGAATCATATTTTTCAATTTTAAAATAAAATCAATTATTTCCTTAAAAAGATATCGCTAAAATTATTTGAAAAATTGATTTTTTTTCTGTTTTTTTTTTCTGATTTTTTAACATTTTATTTTTTTCCATGTTTGAGTTTTTATTTATGTTTTTTTAAATTTTTTAACAAATTGTAAAAAATTCTATTATTTATTTATACTTAAGTTTCTTCAAAAATTCATTCATTTCAACTTATTTTAGAATCAAAAATACCCCAAAAATGGTTGTTTTTTTTTCAAAAGTCGGTAATTTTGAAAAAGGGGGTATTCCAATCTTAATTAGTTTATTAGCTATCTTTTCTTAATTACAAAAAATTATGATAACTTTCAAAAAAATAATTTATAAAAAAATATATAACTGAAATCGATATGTAGATTTGGCTAATTTAATTTTCGGAATCTATTTTTTTTTAATTGTAGTGCTGTCTGTCTTTTGAATCATTTTTTTTATTTATATCTATATGATCGAATTCTTTGATTCCTTTAATAGCAAAATAAAAAGATCAATATTCTCATTCAGATTTCCAAAAAAAAAAATCACATTTCAATAATTAAAATAAATTGTCAATGTCTCCAATTCTCAAAGGCGGAATTGAATAATTTTAAGCCAGTTTTGGAGAATTTAAATTTTGAAATGTTCAATGATTTAAAAAAATCTTGTTTTAAAATTTTGAATAGAAAGTTTGTTTCATTTATTTCGAAACAAAGAGTCTGTTAAAATTGATATCTTTAGTAGATTAAGTTTCTTTCGGATTTTAGATCAGTTAACGATTACTCAACAATTTATAAATTATGTTGTCTCATGTTAATTTTGTAATATTTTTTTGTTTAACTTGTTCGATTGATAATATTTTATATTTTTTGATCTTTTTGGTAAATTTAGGTTTGTTATTCAAGAGTGATCATTGTATTGTGAATTATAGTATTTGTTAATATTATATTTTGAAATTATTTAATAATAGTTTGTGTTAACTTTGTGTATGTTTGTTTTTTCATGATAAATATTCGTTTGAATTGTTTGTTTATTTTGAATTTTTGTTTAATTATTAATGATGAATATTTTATTTCATAAAATAAAAAAAGCGACTTTTATGAACGGGTAAATAGCGAAGTGGTATCGCGTCTCATTTGCATTGAGGAGGCCCGGAGTTCGATTCTCCGTTTATCCAAAGTTTTTTTTTTTCTATTTTTTAAATATAAAAACAGTCAGAAAAAAAATTTTTTTTTTTTTAGAATTTTTTTTTAACACAAAAGTCTCAAAACACAAAAATTTTTTTTTATACCCTTTTTATCTTCTGTTGAAAACAAACAACAAAACCTTTTTCAAATTAATATTTGATAAAATCAAAAAGTTTAAAGATAAACGATCTTTGGGTTGCTTGGATATTCCCAAAGTGTTAGTATTTTGGATTTACAATCAAATCACAATTAATTATTGATATATTGTTAGCTTTGAGTATCTGTTCAACACAGGCCTCGACAAAGATTTCTCTTCAATTCTATTTTTTTAAATATAAATTCGAAATTTAACAATTAAATGTATGAACTTATACAATTAAAGTATTTCTGGTTTGAATTAAGATATTGAATGAAAGAAAGATTAAAATATTAAAATAAAAAATAAATGAGCTGAAATGTTAATCTCTGTACTGTAGTTTTAGATATCCACATTATTTTGTAAGCTAGTGTTTCAAATTTAAAAACTTGATTTATTAGTTCTTGAAATCTTGAACATTAAATGATCCAAGAAACAGGCAATATAAAAATAATAAATCTCGTTTTGAATTCTATAAAGTTTAACTATTAATTTTAAAAAATTTTCAAGATAAAGATCTAAATATAATTTTTCAAAAAGATTAGAGAAAATATGAAACAAATTTGTGAAAAAAATAATAAATAATTTTCGAAAAATTCAGCAAATTAATAAACATTAAAACAATTTACAAACATAATTTAAATTTTCTGAAAAAATCAGAGGGTTGTTTCTCAAAATTGATTTTGACTCATGACAACCAACTGGGTGTAATATTAGGGTAAGAATAAAATTAAAGCAACAGGCTAACTTCAAAATGATGGTTGTAGGATCTCGGTGATGCCATATTAGGATTTTATAAATTACAAATTTGATAGTTGAGTTTTTTTTGTTTAAAGGTTATTTTTCCTAAAATGTAAACGTCTGACATTGGAGTATTTGCTATTGAAGACAAATTATATCAGAGTACCATAGATCAAATGTCTTGAAAATTTCTTTTGGTAAAAAACTATTATAAACTGATAAGAAATATTCAAAAAAGATCCCCTTAATAGGGAATATATCTAAACTCTTTTTCAGTTAAAGCGGCCCTGTTTTATTGAAGAAATAGAACTTATTCTATAAGTTTAATTCATTATTCTTCTCGAACTAAAATTTTCTATTTTTGGATCAAAATCATTTTTTTCTCAAATTTTGTAAAATTATGTTTTTTTTGTTTTTTGCTTTTTGCTTTTTTTTTTTTTCTTCGTTTCTTTTTTTTTTTTTTCTAAAATTAAATTTGAAAAAAAAATTGTTTGAAACTAAAAATTAACATTAAGAAAAGTGAGAACATGTAATTCCTTTTTCAAAATTCATACATTTAAAATTAAAAAATCTTATTGTCAACAAATTTAATTTCCTAAAGATATTGAGAATTTTACACCAGAATTTCCAATGAAAAAGGGGTTCAAAAAATTTTTTAACATTTTTTTTTATTAGAAATTTATGGTTTGTTCAATGCTTTTCTTTAATGGTTATGACTCTAAGACAATGTTTATTATTTCTAGTATTTTTAAACAATCTAAGTTGGTTCATTCTTAAAAATAAAGTGACTTTTTCATTTTTGGCTGAGGACTTTTGGTGTGAAATGGAGTTTAATTTTGGACGATTTGAGGGAAAATTCTGCATCTCTAGACTAATTTAAATGTACAAACTATCAATATTCATACTAGAGAGGAAAAAAATATTTATGGGTATTTGATTCCAAATGTTGAAGAGTTGTTAAAAAATTGGATTTGTTGAAAAAAATTGATAAAATAACATTTGAATAGATTATTCGTTAAAATTAAACTATATTTCAAAATCATTGATCCATTGTAAATCAAATTTTGAAAATAAATATTTTTATAAATTGAAGTTATCTATTATAATTTAAAAAAAAATTAGACTATTTTAATATTCAGTTCCATACACTAGAAATATTTGTTTTTCATCTAAAAATAAAATAAAAAAAAGGAAAATTTGAATAAAATATATTGGGTCATTAATTAGGAAATATAGTAAATTTTCAGTAAATAAAAATTTTTTGAAAAAATATGTAATTAACTTCAAAATGGAATATAAATAATGATTAAGTCTCTACGAAAATAGAACTGTCCAAAAGTATTCAAAAAAAAAAGATAATTATCTTAAAAAACTGTTAATTTTGAGACAAGAAATTTTTTACTAAAAATCTCCTAATGGATTGTAAATTCATTGAAAATGGGATATTCATATAAAAAATCCAAATAATAAGAATTAATCTTTAAGTTTTATGTGTATAATTTTTGAATAAAACTTGGAAAGTATTTAATTGAAGAAAATAATACCTTAAGATGTTCTCAATATTAATTTGTAAATACTTCAAATCTGTTATTTAATTTCTTGTTTTGATTACTAAATCTAATTTATATAATTAATTTCAAATTGAAAATTTTTCAGTGTGGTTATTAATAAATAATCTAATACTGTTATTTTCCAATGATTATATAAAAATTTTTATTTCAAGTTTCCAAAATATTTTTCAAATTTTCCATTGAAAAATATCAAACACTCCACACAAAATTAAGTAAAAATGATATTTTTCTAAATTTCATATATTTTTCATCTTGTTTGTGTTTTTAATTTACAGTATTTCCAAGTCTACCATAAAAATTTTAAATAAAACACATTTTATTTTTCTATTCTTATTTTCCATTTTCAAAAAATTACAAAATAAGAATTATTATTCAAAAAATAAAATTTAATAAATGAACGATTATTCAAATTTTGGAAAATCGAAAAAAAAAATTCAAGATCCATCAAGAACTTTTAAAAGATTGTTCAAAAAAGGTAAATTTTTTAAGATCAGTCAATATTGATATTTTTTTTTAAAATAATAACTATTATTTCCGAATTTTTTTAAAAATAGAAAATAAGAATAGAAAACTCAATTCTGATTTATTTAAAATTTTATGGTAGCCTTGGAACGGCTGTATTTGGGAAAATTAACACTTTATTATTCCTTTGTCGTTTTGAAATCAGCGTTGTTGTTAGTTATCTAGATATAAAACCCAAAAAAGTACCAAACAGAATAAAGTGAGATCGCTAATTATTATCATAACTTGCTACTAAATCGATAGAAAATAAATAAAGAAAGAAGTTAAAGAGAAAGTTTTGTATAAATATATTATCAAAATATCAATATATTTTGAGATAAAATTTCATTTTTTTTTTTTTACTGATGATCTAATTTTGTTTATGAAAGGATCATTGATAGAAATAAATTTTCAACTAGAAAAAATCTTTAAAATTATAAGAGATTTCAGAATGAATCCGAATAATAATAAAAAGAAAAAAAACTTGAATTCTAAGGAAACTTTTATATCTTGATATTTGACTAGATAAAAAAACTCATTTAAAGTTTAACCTTGAGAAAGTTATACCAATTTCAAAAAATCAATCAAAATCTTTTAGAACAAAAAATTTTTTCTAAAGTGTTAAAAAATTAGTTTTTTAAAGCCGTTTTACATAGTCAACTAGTAAATGGATTAGAAATATTAGATTTATCAAAAAAAGATTTTACAGATAGTGAAACAAGAAAAATAATAAAAATATAAAATTTTTATTAATTAAATAACATCCCCCCAGGCTTATTTATAAAACAGAAGCCAAAAATTGATCCAATCAGAATAACAATATATAAAAGAAGATTTAAGTTAATATAAAAATTAAAATCCCTTGGTTTTGATGAATTAATTAATTATCTTCCTTCTATAGAAAATGAATTTGAAAATATTAACTGGCAATCAAATAACTTAAAAGAATTAGAAATTGAACTTTAAAAATACAAATTAATCAATTAGATAATAACTAAAGTTGTAAATATCGTTATGTTTTATTTAATTTTAAGAAATAATTTAAAATTTCAAAAATTTTCTGTTTATTTCTTAAAATAAAAAAAATCGCCGTTAGCTTTTCCAGGATTTAAAAGAATTGAGCAAAATCTTTGATTTTTCTCGATTTTTTTAAATTATGGAAAAGGGCCGTAGGTATTTTTGTGTTCTCTATTTATTTATGAAGTGTTCTTGGTTTTTTTGAGGTTTTCTATTTTATTTGTGAAGTGTTCTAGGTTTTTTTGAGTTTTCAAATAAACTGAATACTCGGGTTAAGCTAACAGCTGGAAGAGGAAGTTAAATACCTACTTAAAATAAATATAAAAAATTAATGTAAAATTTCAAATAAAAAGACCCCTTTCTCAAATTTAAATCAATTGAAATATTTCAAATTAACATTAATGGTCGTGATTTTAACATTTAGTATATGATGCGATTTTTATTTTCAGTTATTTTCTCAATTTATTTTTTTATTAAAATTGTTTTACTGTAGAGATTTAACATATTAAAATTCTGTTTATAGCAAAATAAAAAGATCAATATTCTCATTCAGATTTCCAAAAAAAAAAATCACATTTCAATAATTAAAATAAATTGTCAATGTCTCCAATTCTCAAAGGCGGAATTGAATAATTTTAAGCCAGTTTTGGAGAATTTAAATTTTGAAATGTTCCATGATTTAAAAAAATCTTGTTTTAAAATTTTGAATAAAAAGTTTGTTTCATTTATTTCGAAACAAAGAGTCTGTTAAAATTGATATCTTTAGTAGATTTAGTTTCTTTCGGATTTTAGATCAGTTAACAATTACTCAACAATTTATATATTATGTTGTCTCATGTTAATTTTTATATATTTTTTTGTTTAATATTTAAGATTGGTTATATTTATTATTTTATTGTTCTTTTTGGTTAATTTGATTTTGTTTTTGCAGAGTGATCTTTTTGATTGCTGGTAATTAAAGGATGTTATAATTAGTTTTTGATATTTATTTGATAATAGTTTGTAGTAAGTTTGAGTATGTTTG